AAAAGCAAATGATTTATGATATATGGGAAATGTAAAAAATGATATGGTTTCCATTACATGGAAGCCGCATTAAAAGTAACTAGAATCTCTGGAGAAATAGTCGATTCCAGACACTATACAAAATAAGCCTGGGATCTATTGCACCTAAAACAAAGATTTCAAAGAATAATGAGACAATGAAGCCAGCTTGAAAGGACCAAGATAAAACAAAAGACTGATATTATTACCCACGCCACAAGGAAAACCTTGAGTCTCACCATATCTATAGCAAAAAGACTGCTGTCATCCCACAGATGTGCTGAAATCGCTTCACCAATAAGCACCACAACTTCTGCGAGCAACTCCAGAACTCGTATTATCATCTGTCTACTACCTGGAAATACAAACAGGAGACAGAACGAAAAAAAGTTAACTTCCAGGTAAAGCTGAATAGCATACTGCTCAATCCTCTGGTTAGCTAATGCCCCCAAATTCCTATTTCTCTTCTTATTTTTTGATATCTTTAGAACTGTTAAAAGAGAGATGACTAGGGAAGCCACAGTATACAGTCACTATTAGGCTTCTGTTTCAATCATAACACTATTTAGCTACAAAAAAATCAAATGTGCTCCTAAGTAGGAAAGATAGCCAGGAAGAGAATAACAATGTAACTACAAGCACTGTGAGACAGAGTACAATAAGTTTTCAAATTCAGAGACCATCCACCTTACATGTAACATGTGACAAGGCACAGGTCAGCTGAGAAGATATGGTCTAATAAATTCCCCACTTAGGACTAGGTTCAAGCCTTGTCATGAATCAGTTTCCCACACAGGAGTTTGGGAAACCTACACTCACCTTAAAGTCTAAAAACATTCCAGAAGAAAGGGTGCTGTCAACCCACCTGGGCAGCCTCCTTCTCCAGAGACAGAATAACAAAGGAATTCCACCAACTGTAACTCTTGATGAGGTGAGCATTCAATCAAGACTTTCCTGCCCCACATTACAAAGGTCAATTTCTAATGAATGAGAGTAAAACAAACTACTGGATCATGAGGGTCCAGATTAATTGCTTCACTAGAACAGCCGGAGCAAATTCTCTTAGAAATCTCTCATGACATTGAACAATTACGAATTAAGCAATAATGTGCCTTTACCAAAGGGCAAGAGAACATTTAGAAAATTTTATGTGCCATGATACAGCTTTATAATTATCAATCTGACTTTCTACAGCAAATTAAGAAAAGGTTAAATGCAAAACCACTAAATCTAAAACTGTTCTCCTCAGTACACCATGCAGACAAACATATACACTTGATGCTGAAGAAGTTCAGATCTTCCTTCATGTCACTTTACTAGTACATGAATTAATCTGTTCTCCTCACTCCCGGAAGCAGAGTTCTCCAATCAGTAAGAAGTTAAGGTATACTGTTCTCAGAATAAAAACTGTTAATGTTCCCAAATATACACTTACCTCCTGCCTCTTCCGCATCACTTCCAGGCAAGCAAAAAATAGCCACAGAACTTACAGAACCATTAGCATGGGATACCCTTATCACTCGGCCAGTATAAACCAAACAAAGCAAAATGTATCTTGTGTTTATATTTTGACAAGTTTATCAATTACTTAAAATGTATATACTTAGAGAATACAAATACAAAGGAGATTGCAAATGTTCCTTTACCTGTAATGCAATGTGCTAAGTGCATGGATTTTGGTCTCAGAACTGAAGTTCAAGTCTCTGCTCTTCGCTGACTTTGGGTGAGTTTCTAGAGCACTCTAAACCTCAGCTGCTTGTAAAACAGGGAGAAGAGCAGTAACTACCACTGAGGGGTGGACCGAACAGGCTAGTGTGAGGAGCACGTGGGCGAATGTGCACCAGACCCTGACCAGCAGCTGAGCACAGCAGGGCCTCAAAGCGTGGTAACCTCGCTGACCGCGGGACTACCCTGGACACTGGCCACGCTGCTCTTTCTCCAGGAAGATCACAGCCACCTCCCAGAGTTCACTACAGGACATCTGTGCAAACTTACCCAGCACAGTGGTGAGGAAATGTCATACCAGAAGGTTTGGGTTTTATGAATTCTGCTTTGTTTCTTAAGAGGACAGTATTACTGCAAAAGTACAGTCCAGTGTTGGGACTGTTTTGGTTTTTAACATGCCCCCATCACTCAAGCTCCCCTCATAGCTCAGTTGGTAAAGAATTCACCTGCAATGCAGGAGACCCCAGTTCGATTCCTGAGTCGGGAAGATCTGCTGAAGAAGGGATTGGCTACCCACTCCAGTATTCTTGGGCTTCCCTTGTGGCTCAGCTGGTAAAGAATTCACCTGCAATTCAGGAGACCTGGGTTCGATCCCTGGGTTGGGAAGATTCCCTGGAGGAGAGCATGGCAACCCACTTCAGTATTCTTGCCTGGAGAATTCCATGGACTGTATAGCCCGTGGGGTCACAAAGAGTCAGAAGTAACCAAGTGACTTTCACTTTCACTTATCACTCAAGTCAAAACTGAGTGAGAAGACTGAACAACTGGAAGCAACTCAAAAAATCTCTAAAGAGCAAAAGCCAAGGAGCTTTTTCCTCTGGTCTATTCAGTCCACCTTCTCTAACTCACTCCAGTGTGTTTTGTTTTTCATTGCTTACCTTTAAATAGCCACACACAAGTGGACATCTGTGCCATAAAAGGCCAGAAGTCAAAGGGGATACTCTATCTGAACAGCGCTCCATGACATCCACGTTTAACTGAGAGACAATAAAGACCTTACTAAGTCCTCAGTAACATGAATTTACTAAGTAAATACAGATTTTCAAAGATGGTAAGACAGAAGGTGAAAAAGAGAAAAATGAGAGTCCCAGCAAACAGACAGGAACAAACACGAAGTGTACAGAAGGAGCTCTGGCTCCAAGGAGCACCGACCTGTTCTCAGGAGAGGCGCGGTGGCCTCCAGGAGGCAGAGGCAGAGCTGGGGCAGGCTCAGCTGCTGCAGCTGAAGCTCCAGCGCGTCCTCGGCCAGCTCCGGCAGGTCCACGGGCGAGGGGGCAGAGACCCGCGAGCTGACGTGCGCGTGGCTGCTGCTCCCGCTGTGAAGTAAGCAAGGACAATCACGACCCTGGGCTGGGGAAACCGCCCGCAGACAGACTACTGCATGGCTGCTGTCTGGCATATGAAGAAGCTGCATACTCGGCTCGAACATATTGTTCCACGGAACAACTGTGGTCAGATTGGTAGAAACCTTGACAAGTTTATGAGATTAAATTCCATAAAGATGGCTCAAAATTGTAAGCAAACCAAGAATGCATTTATATTTTGTTCTTCAAATTGATATTCTCCAAACATGTCAACAATCCTGTAGCAGTAATAGACATAAGCACTGAAAACCCATCCATCTCTAAAGGAACGCAAACAGATTCATAGCAAAGTTCTTCCATAACTTCTAAAGGCAAAAACTAAATAGTTCATATGGCTCTCTAGACTTTCTGTGATTTTCACCAAATGTTCTAAGTAAGCCAATGTTAGCAACTGAAGAATGCAAGAAAATGCCAGAAAAACATGATGAGAAACGGATTACTTTATTTAGTACAGTCAACATCGTATGATTTTGAAAATGTACCCAAAATGGAACACCCCATCTTTCTTAGCTTTTTTTATTAAAAAAATTTTTTTTAGCTTGGCTATAAAGGGTGGGGTGGGGATCAGAGGGCCATAGAAAAGGCATTAACGTCATGTTTACAAAGCACCCCATAATGTTGACTTTTGATGTTACCCACAGCTGAACTGAATCACAGAGATGTGCTGACGCTACTGAACACGTATAATTTAATACACGTTGTCATCCCTTCAATTCAAACATACCCAGCATCCCAAAATATGGAAATGAGCTGGGCTTCTCTCTAACTCTGAAAGGGCCTGGAAGGAAGTTCACTGAGGAGTGAAAACTGACAAGCACGCAGCACACTAGTTACAGCTCAGAGAACGAGCTGAGGAGGAAAACCACGCTGATTCACAGCAGCCGCCCTGCAAACAGAGGCGCACAGCTCGGAACGCGCTGCCGGCCCCTGCGTGCACGCCCCCAGCCCTGCAAACCGGGGCCCGGGGCCTGGCTCCCGGCCCTCCCTGCCTCAGGCTTTTCTATACAATGATGACAATAATCATCCCAATCATATCACAGGACTCTTGTGAGGACACCACAGGAGACAAAGCTCATGAAGCCCTTGAGGTAACACCAGGAACAAGGCAAGCGTGAGTCGGTGTTAGCCTGGAGCGGCCACACTAGCAGTGTCAGGAGAAAAGAATCAGGCCAACACACAAGTGCTGGTCTCAGGGAGCATTTAGCAGAACGAACCTAAGGAAAAGACTAAGTTTTCAAGATGCTCTTAGCCTAAGGATGAGATAACATACAAACACCGTGCCAGCTCCTTTAAGGAAACAATGTGTAAAAATCTTTCTTTATACAAACAAACAAAAAAACACCATGAGCACCATCAACTCTGCACCCTGAAGGGGACTTTGATTCTCCAATCATTCCCTTTAACAGTAAACACAACAGTAAACACCAACACATTTAAATTATAATTAAATGAAATCCAAAAGTGGGTTTAAAATGTTATCAAGACGTATCCAACATTTTAAAACTATGCTTTTCAACTAGATCACACTCCATCTGTGGCTGCCATAAACAATTCAGTGGGTCAGAATCACCATTTTCTTGATGAAATAGAAATGAACAAATAATGCAGTTCACTGTGTGACATGCAAAATCAGAGAACAGTTTTTTGAACATTTTGTTTTGGAGTACGGACACAGCGGCACACACACACACATACACAGGGTATATGTCTGCGCTCTGAGTCCTGGGTTGCAGTATAATACTTATTTCTTACTGGAGGTCATGGTCAAAAAAGTGTGAAAGCCACTGGTTAACACAAGGACAACACCTGAGTTAACGCTTCAAAAGATAAGACAGAAGAGAAAGACGACCTCCCTCTAAACTGAAACACGCGCTCAAGCTCCCTCGGCCCCGGTCACCTGGAGGACACGGCGTCCCAGTCCTGACCATCCCCCCGGGGCCGCTGGCCCGTGCGCCCCACCACGGAGGGCCGGGGGCTGCTGCTTCCAGGAGACGGGTTCTGGGAATGCGGAGCCGCCCTGACGTCAGGACAGTAAGACAGAGAAGAGTTCTGGGACACGGCATCTGGGGGAGAAAAGAATAAAATTACTCCCTGGTAGAGACAAACGACTGACTATGAGCTCTTTGTCATTAAAAAAAAAAAAAAATGAAAATAGTAGAAATGCTTCTCTGAGGTAAAAGTGAAGGTCAACCTTTTCTGCAGAACTCCCTTAGCACATGAGGTTCATATAAAACTGACCTGATTACACAGAACCTTCTAGCCAACACCATCCACCTACAACAGCAGAGACAAATCATCTACTCTCCTGCCTAAAGCCCTCTCAGAGACCATACCTCAAACCATGTGCAAAAATTAACTCAAATTTAAACAACAACCTAAATATGAGTTAAAACCATAAAGATCTTTAACAGAAAACATAGGGGTGAATCCTCACGACCTTGGGTTTGTAACGAATTTTTAGATAAGATAGCAAAAACACAAACCACCAAAGAAAACAGATAAACTGGACTTCATCAAAACTTAAAACTTTCATGCATCAAAGGACATTATCAACAAAGTAACAACCTACAGAACGGGAGAAAATATTTGCAAATCAAACACCTGCTAAGGATTTAATATCCAGGATATATAAATAACTCCCAAAACTCATCATAAAAAAAAAAAGTCAAATATCCCAACTTAAAAATGACCAAAAATCTTTGATGGACATTTCTCTAAAAATCTATCAGTGGCCAATAAGCACATGAAAAGTCACTAGAGAATCACTAGTCATTAATAAATTTTCACTGCTGCTGCTGCTGCTGCTAAGTCGCTTCAGTCGTGTCTGACTCTGTGCGACCCCATAGACAGCAGCCCACCAGGCTACCCCATTCCTGGGATTCTCCAGGCAAGAACACTGGAGTGGGCTGCCATTTCCTTCTCCAATGCATGAGAGTGAAAAGTGAAAGTGAAGTCGCTCAGTCGTGTCCGACTCTTCATGACCCCATGGACTGCGGCCCACCAGGCTCCTCTGCCCATGGGATTTTCCAGGCAAGAGTGCTGGAGTGGGGTGCCACTGCCTTAGGGAAATACAAATCAAAAACCACAATGAGATACCACCTCACTCCTGCTAGGATGACTATGACTAAAAAGAACAAACTGCTGGAGAGGCTGTGGGGAAACTGGAAACCTCATACGCTGCTGGCGGGCATGTGAGCCTGTACAGCTGCTGTGGGAAACTCGATGGTTCCCCAGAAAGCGAAGGGATTCCCAGGTGGCTCATCAGTAAAGAACTGCCTGCTGATGCAGGAGACAGGCTTGTTCCTGGGCCGAAGATCCNGACTGCAGCCTACAAGGCTCCTCCGTCCCTGGGATTCTCCAGGCAAGAACACTGGAGTGGGCTGCCATTTCCTTCTCCAATGCATGAGAGTGAAAAGTGAAAGGGAAGCCGCTCAGTCGTGTCCGACTCTTCATGACCCCATGGACTGCGGCCCACCAGGCTCCTCTGCCCATGGGATTTTCCAGGCAAGAGTGCTGGAGTGGGGTGCCACTGCCTTAGGGAAATACAAATCAAAAACCACAATGAGATACCACCTCACTCCTGCTAGGATGACTATGACTAAAAAGAACAAACTGCTGGAGAGGCTGTGGGGAAACTGGAAACCTCATACGCTGCTGGCGGGCATGTGAGCCTGTACAGCTGCTGTGGGAAACTCGATGGTTCCCCAGAAAGCGAAGGGATTCCCAGGTGGCTCATCAGTAAAGAACCGCCTGCTGATGCAGGAGACAGGCTTGATCCTGGGCCGAAGATCCCCTGGAGAAGGAAATGGCTACCCACTCCAGGATGCTTGCCTAGAAAACCCCACGAGCAGAGGAACATGGCTGGCTACAGTCCATAGGGTAGCAAAGACTCGGACATGACTGAGCATGCACACACACAAAAAGATAAACAGAACTGGCACAAGACCCAGTACATCTATTCTTGGGTATAGACCCAAAAGAACTGAAAACAAGGACTTGAACAGATATGCCAATGTTCACCAGAGCATTACTCAACAGTCAGAAGCTGGGAACAACACCTACATCCATCCACAGATGAATGAATAAACAGAATGTGGTGTGTACATACAATGAAATATTATTCGGCCATAAAAGTAAGTAAAGTTCTGACAGAGGCTGCAACATGGATGAACCTTGAAAACACTAAACTAAATGAAATAAGCCAGACAAATATTGTACAATCCCACTTAGATGAAGAACCTAGACAGAGAATAGATTAGATATTACCGGGGCTGCAGAGAAGGGGAAAGGGAGATTCTGCTATGCTTACAGAGTCTCCATTTAGGGTGATGAAAAAGGCCGGGAAACACATGATGGTGATGAGGGCACAACAGCATAAATGCAATTAATGCACCGAACTGCACGTTTATAATGGCGTATTTTATGCTATGTGTATTTTACCGCAATTTTTAAAAGGAATTAGGTAAAATAAAGACATTTACAGAGAGAGGAACAATAACGACTCTCCAAGAGCTTCTCACTTCACTTCAAAGAAAATACAAAGTCATACCAACAGCTGCAAGTCCCAGTACCCACTGCCCCAGGCCACCTCCCAGACCGTCCGCCTTCCCCTCCTGCACCCCCACCCAGTTAACCGCACTCACTCACTCCAGCCTGACTTCTGCTCCTCAGGCAGCTCGCCCTCATGCCTGAGGCCTGTGGCCTCCCTGAATTCTCCTCCTGCAGCCCTTCAAGTGGAGGTTCCTGCTCACTGCCAGGCCATCTCCTCTGGGAGGCCCTCCCTGACCATCCCATCCAGGTGACCCGTCTCCTGGGTCGCGCTCTGTCACAGCACCCTTCCTATCCCCTTCGGGCACTTCCTACCTCAACACTCCTGTGTTTGCGGCGTGTGCCAGCCTTCCACAGCATAAGCTCAGACAGGCGGGGGCCTCCCCTGCCCTGTTCAGTGGTTCGCCCCCTGGAGCTGTGGTCCCTAACATTTGTGGCACCAGGAGCTGGTTTTGTGGGAGACAGTTTTTCCAGGGACGGGAGGCCACAGGTGGATGGATGGTTTCGGGATGATTCAAGCACATTACATGTACTATGTGCTTCACTTCTAATGTACTGCTGCCACTTATCTGACAAGAGGTACCGGTCCACCACCCAGAGCTTGAGGACCCCTGCCCGCAAGCACCAGTTGGCACAGAATAGGTGATAAACATTTATTTAATAGATGAATAAGTCCTCTGATTTATCCACTACTTTAACCAACCAAACTGCACTTAACTCTTTCTCTGGTGAAATATGGGGTACCCACAAATTCTCAAGAAAGTTACTGGGGAAACTCCATGTCCCCTGAGGTCCATAATAATGCTAATATAAAGCGTAAGTATTCAAGTAGCACAGGATCAGTGATGCTCTCAACAAAACAGAGCGTAACTCTGAAGCATGACGGTCACTGTTATCAAACATTCGACTTTCAGTGCACACTGCGTGAGGACACAGAAACCCTGAACTGAAGTGCGGCTGTGGCAAGGCCAGCCCAGAACTCCTGCTGGCCATTAGGTGGTGCTCTTTCCCTGAGAAGTCTGGCACTGCTATCAAAGCAATAGAAAACATGGCCTACACAAGTTGCATTAAAATAGTTTCCATAAAATACAGACAGGCATTTTTCAAACCCAACAATTTCTTAACACAATGCATAACCTGCTAAAATGCCCAAAGCCCAACGTGATCAGCTGGACTTACAATCCCAGTCCTTAGTTCCTGTCACCACTGCACTCATGGAGAAAAACAGCCATCCCATGCCAAAAAAGAGGATGAGGGGACTTCCCTGGTGGTCCAGGAATCGCCTGGCGATGCAGCGGACATGGGTTCCCTCCTTGGTCGGGTAATTAAGATCCCACATGCTGGGGCAAAACCAAGCTAGTATGTCGCAAGTACTAAGCCCTCGAGCCAAGACAGAGTCCATGCGCTGTGACAAAAGATCCCAAGGTCCCCACATGAGGCAGGAAGACCCCGCGTGCTACAACTACAACCAGACACAGCCAAACAAACAAATAAAAAAAAAAGTTAAGGAGTTCATTCTGTTTAAAGAAAAAAAAGAGGATGGACTCATGAGTGCTTCTGTCATTAACACGCTGTTTTCAAAGATTATGATTTGATAAACGCTCAGGAATGGGGCGTTTCTGCTGTGAAAATGTACACACACAGTAAGCCTGATGGGAGTTCTTGGAAGAATCTACAAATACCGCCAGTGCACAAGGAATAAACAAACAGAAATACCTTGTTTATTAGAGAAAAAACTTGGATCTCTGTGGAAATTGAGTCTGTTTCTTAAATACGTGCACAGCTGCTGCAAGCAGGACACTGACTGTAAGGCCAGACGATGTTTTCCATCTCCTCCAAAGGCCAGTTTCAACAGAGATAAAAGGCTCTGAAATGAAGAGTGATGAAAACGATCAACGGAACAAAGTGCTCGACTTCAAAGAAGGATGTGGAGCTTATGCAAGGTTAAATGAACAATCGAAGGAATCACGATAAGGTGCCAAATATTTATAAGAGAGAAGCAGCAGAAACAGGTAAAAATGACTTAGCGTAAGGCTGGAAGATGGGTCGAAGATCAAATTTAAGGGGAACAGTCAGTGTTTCTCATATCTGAACTGTTAGTTGAGTACCTATCCCAAAGAACACAGGAAACAGTCCCCACTCAAGACACTGCTACAGAGTATTTTTTTTAAAGTACAGCAAGCCTTCTTCCTGTCAAACAGCTAAATCACTTGGCACACTCTGAGGATTCGCAGCTGTTCCTCTGCTGCCACTCGGAGCTGGGGCAGCGTGTATCACAGCTGCCGCTCAGCGGCACCCACCTCGGCCTGGTGACGGCGGAGCAAGGCTGCTGGGCCTGAACGGACGCTGTGGGCAGGCTGCAGCCCAGCGCAGGCTGCAGCGCCGAGACAGCCGGCACCGCGCGTCAGAACCCACACGCTCAGAGCGATGCGAGTCTTACTGATCAGACTGGTGCCCCACGTCTGTTCTCCCCTTCAAGTGATTCACCAATGGTAAGGTCAAGGGGGTCAAACTGGACTGAGCGTGTCAAATGAGACCACCTCCTATCAGGAGGATGACCTCTGTCCAAGTAAGCTGAAGAATAACGGGTCTGAAAAGCCAGATGGTTCATCATCTGAACACGAGGATGTAAGTTTCCCCCCCAAGGACGCCTACTTTGTACAATGTGTTTCACTGCAAAAACTCCCCTACTTCGAAATCTAAAACAACTACAGAGGAAACGCACCTGAACAATGTTTGGCCTTTGAAGGAATATCTCAGCAGGAAAATCTTGCATGATAACATCTTGCAACAGTTCACAGGTGTTCCAGATTACAGTGTGGTTACTACTTCTTAAAGAGCTGCAAAATATACAAAATACAGTATTTATTTTTAAAAAGCGTATACCCATACCAGATTCTAAGGAACCAGGCAGCATAATGACCCTATCAGAACCCTTCAGGGCTCGGCTGACACGTCGTCCCCTGGGAAACGTTCCCAGCTCTCTCCCCTAACCCATGAGCTAGCCTGGGGGAGGTGTTCTTTCACGTGCCCAGAACCTGTGCTGCGGCTGCCGCCTGTCGACTCCACAGACCCCTGGGCCCTCAAGAGCAGGGACGTCACAGTGCCCACCCCTGTATGCCCAGAGACCACCACAGCGCCATGAAATGAGATCAGTGAAATCTGCTAAATGAATCAGGATGTAAGACAGAGGAAATCGTAATAGAGAAATAAATTCTAGGTATTAGATTCCTTAACTCCTCTTCCCTACTTTGGGGGAATCAAGCTGGTACTCCTCTCTTGTCCCATGGACACGTGACCCCTCAGCTTCATGAACCCCTCAACTTCTCTGACAGCACTTGCCTCCCCAGCACAATGGCGGTTGTTCACCTCTCACCCCAAGAAACCAAACCCGCTCTCAGTTCAGCTCTTCCACCATTCACCACCCACACGCGCCCCCTAGAGACCTCATCTCCTCCTCAGCAACCAACTCAGAACTGACAGATCAATGCCATCCCCACCTCAATCCCAGCTGCATGCAACCTCTTCATCATGTTGTTCCAAGAGAATTCACTGCCAGTCTAGAAGGGCCATCATCGGAAGTCACTTAATAGCATCCCCCTATTTGGCCCGAACTCTAGAAGTTGGTCCTTATTTTTCAGACTCTCACCAAAACAAGGCAGACAACGCGTTTGGTGTGGCATTCACTGAAATGAAGTTTTAGCAAAAAGTGAAACTAGACTTTAAAACACTCTCCAAACTTCTAGATATCATCTATTTTGAGAAGTAATGACCAAATAAAATCCATTACATAAAATCAGATCAGAGGTCCCCAACCTTCTCCTAACAGAGTCCATGTTTTGAAATATATTGTCTACTATAAAGACCGCATTTTATGTTTAATTGCTCCAAGGGCCTAAGCAATGGCCAGCTAATCTGGTTGATAAGAGATGACTCTTGTCACCAAAGAGTGCACAGGATTCCAAGCACAAAAAAGAAACTTGATGTGAAGCCTGATTAAAGGCAACAGGGAATTTTCTGGCTTGCTTTTTTAAATACTGAAAATGATTCATATATTCCCTTTACTACCAACCACAGCCACTTTTAGAATCTTTTTTTTTTCTGATGAAAATGTATCGTAATAACTCTCAGACTTCATGGCTACAAATACCAGAAGCCAAAACACCTGCCATACACCGGGCACAGTACCTTTAGCTGGACGAGAGAACGTGTCTGTCAGCTGCGGTCAGGGGGAGCCAGGGGAAAGTAGAAAACTTCAAACATCTCGCAGTCGGATTTGCTGCTAACGGAAAAGCAGAACATAAGGCAGCGAAGGAGGCAAGGTGGACAGATTCACAATGTCCCGAGGAACACTTTGCCTTCAAAACAAGTCCCCAAGTAAAATTACAGCACACAGTTCCCTGAAGTATGTCAAAAAGACCAGCTGCAAATTTGTGTCCTCAAAGAATAAATAACAGATCTCTTTTCACAATTAAAACAGAACTCCTATTATTTTTAGAAGAAGGGCATCAAACACAAACCAATATTGAACAACATTTATAGCATCAATTAAATTTTTTATTCTACGACGTGGGTAACCAGAACAGAGACCTTAAACAAAAAAGAAACTGGTATTTGGAGATCTCTAACCGTAGAAATTGAAAACATATAAATGTAACCATACACTGTATTTAGTAAGTCAAGCTCAAATATCATAAATAGTGTTTGATATTTTAACGGTTACTCTTTGAGGATGACTTGAAGACCGTAAGGTTAAAGATCAAATATCAGTGCTCAAACAAGATTAAAAGAAATCTGAGAAACCGAATCCAATTTTATACCACCCTCCTTCAAATCACTTTTAAACAGACCTCCTAGTGTACAAGTTAAGGTGGCAACACATGAGCCCTTCCAAACGACAGTCCTTCTGCCACGTGCTTTGAAAAGAGCATGGGATTGCTAAATTCAGGTAATGGTATTATCAAATTCCCAAACACATCACAGTTGCTTCCTTCAAAAGTGTTAACATAAAGGCAGGGTTTACCGTCTAAGGGGAAAGCAAGAGTTGGGAAGGATATAAAGATGTGTCTAAAGAAACCACACCAGCAAATCCACAAACTACAACTCACACAAAAATGCGTCACCATCTCAATATTTCTAGATGCTTTCAACAGCTTCACTCAAATACCCAACATTCCCAGCCCTGGAGACACTCCGTTCAGATGTCTCTGGTTGTCACTGCATTAAGCCTCTCAGTCACAAACACAAAGAACTACCGTATGAAACCTAAGCTCCCAAGAAACCTAACAAAACTTTTACAGACAGGAAATGTCAAGTATTTTAACAGCTGAGCAAGTTTTCTGTTCCTGCTTATGCTGGACTCAATTTGAGAATTTCTACAAAATCTTTTCTGTAACAGAGGGCTTCCAAACTGAATGGAACTGAATAATTGACATCCACAGAAATATTGCTGGAAACAGACTTTTCAACTTCACAGGCAATAAAATATAAAGCTCATGCTCACTTAACCGTGCCCTAACTGTGTCATCTAGTACAAAGATTTTATCCTTTTCTAAATCTCAAGGTCCTCACTGGTAAAATGGGGTCATTAAGAGTATCAATCTGGGACTCCAGGAAGATTCACTCATTCGTTACAAAAATACAGACTGAACACCTGGTACATTTCTGGCACTGCTGCCCACACCCACACCGGATGAAGTAGTTCTGGTGGCTGACATTAAGCTTACAATGAGTGAGACAAACAAGACGTAAATAAACACACAACTTAACAAATACATGTAAGAAGAAAACNACAAGACGTAAATAAACACACAACTTAACAAATACATGTAAGAAGAAAACCAAAGACAGAGAAAAAGTGATCCTGGCTGGAGCCCTCAGGAAGGTCTCTTTGAGGAGGTGGCAAGTGAGCAGAGGCCAGACACAGGGAGCCCTGGATGAGATTCCCGGGAGGCTCTAAATCAGAACTCACCGGTCAACGTGGTGCGGGGAGAGAGACAGAGGGAGAAACAAACGTCACTGGATGGACAGTCCTGCTGAGTGAGCTGGAGCATTCACAGGGTGACAGGACAGGGCACAGCTCAGCTCCGGACAGAGACTCCCCGCTCACCAAGCGCCAAGGACCTCGGCCACCATTACCACACCCACGCGGCGCCTCAAAGGCAGTGAGAACAATAAAGGTGGTCCCTTTAAGATTTCAGGTTGTTGCAGCAATTCTGAAAAGAAAACGTATGTGTTACTGGTGCATTATTGAAAGTGAAACTTGCTCTTTTCAAATATTAATGGTTTAAGTTTCTGGATCACTTTAAAAATTAGAAAAATAATGTAGTTATGTTTCTCTGCATAATCTGTCCTCCTAAATAGGAAAAAAATGTGACTGCTGAGTCAATTTCAAACTGAGGGATTTTCTTCTTTTACTGTTAATTAATTGCAATTATTTCTTAGAATGAAAACATGCACAATGTACATAAAGAATTTGCTGCTGCTGCTAAGTCACTTCAGTCGTGTCCAACTCTATGCGACCCCATAGACGGCAGCCCACCAGGCTCCTCCGCCCCTGGCATTCTCCAGGCAAGAACACTGGAGTGAGTTGCCATTTCCTTCTCCAAGGCATGAAAGTGAAAAGTGAAAGTAAAGTCGCTTAGTCGTGTCCAACTCTTAGCGACCCCACGGACTGCAGCCTACCAGGCTCCTCCGTCCATGGGATTTTCCAGGCAAGAGTACTGGAGTGGGGTGCCATTGCCTTCTAAAGTATTTGCTACAAGGTATTAATTCAAGGGCTGCTCACCTCTGCTTCTCAGCCCATCTCGCTCCTTTCACTCTACATAGTCCCCATCACTTCAATTTTCATTCATGCTTTTTAAGATAAAAGTTGCCCAAGCAAGAATCAGGCACTGCCTTTCGGTAACTCTGACGATCCCCTACCGTACGTGATTACATTCAGCACTTCAGCTGTAGTGAGACTGAGAATGAAGAAAACGTGAAAACTCAGTTTTGCAATTTTCCATTTGCAGTTCTCATGCCAGTGGTCCTCAGACTGATACAGAGAGCTACAAACTAGCCCACGACCATTCCTGTAATCCCACCTGCATGAACTAGGTTGAAAATTCATGATATAAGATTACACTTTCTTTGTTATCCCTTACAAAGAAATTCTAAAACACACTGTCAAAAATCACAATCACAGAAGAATTCAGTAAATGGCAGCTGCTATTGTTACCTCCTGCTGGAAGTGGGACGGAGGGCCACAGAAGGGACAGGAGAGCATTGGTGCAGAGAAAAGTCGAGTCTAACAGATTAAATGAGCAAAAACACGCTTTCTTATACTTCTACTTAAATTTTATACTCGAGTACGAAAATCTTATACTTTTCATAAATTTCAAGAGCATTTGCTTTTCATCAAATCAATTTAAATGCTTTCCATGAGCAAGGAACTAGTGGACATCAAATAGGGGTTCTGGGCTTAATATACGCTGGGCTCTATGCTAAGTACTGTCTCACTTAAGCCTCACAGAAATCTTGTAAGATGTTCTCGTTTATTGTATCAATTTCTGGAGGAGAAAACAAAGCCTGGGGGGACTGAGGCCCTTAGCCAAGACCACACAACTAGTGGCAGACCTGGGACACAAATCCATGTTTCCATGACTCTGATTTTAGCAGGTACACTAAATGTGTAGCTCATTTTCATTGTATCCCATAACAAAATCATGAGCCGGGCAGATATTACCACTCTATGAAGAACACAGTCCCAAAATGAAAGTATAAAACATTTAAAACAATGCCTGGCACATAGTAAGGAGTGCTCAATGAATATTTCTTGTTATTGTTTAAAAAACAAATGGTCAAAGTAGTCTCACAAAAAGAAAGTCACTTGCATCTTTTTATGCCCTTCAACCAAAAAAGCAAAATTACACAACTGTCCTCCTCTCTATGATGTTGGTGGTGTTAGTTGCTCAGTTGTGTCTGACTCTTGGCGACCCCATAGACTGTAGCCCACCAGGCTCCTCTGTCCATGAGATTCTCCAAGCAAGAATACTGGAGTGGGTTGCCATTTCCTTCTCCAGAGGATCTTCTGATCCAGGGATTAAACCTGGGTCTCCTGCACTGCAGGCAAATTTCTTTACCATGTGACCTACAGGCAACTCCCTGTATAATGTTAGAGGAGGAGAATTATGGTCAAATTCATATGTTAACATAAGAAAAGTAAGCTGTGGGACAGGGGAGTGGGGAAAGGTTTAGAATCCCATAGACAGAGGAGCCTGGTGTCCTATAGTCCGTGGGGTCACAAAGAGTCGGACACAACTGAGCACCTACCACCACCACCACCAGGGTCCCTTTCCTTAGAATTAACCATTAGAACCAATATATTAACAGAATGATTGATTGATTGACTTCATCAGATTGATTTCAGAGAGTTACCAGTTTGACTGGTCTGGTAAGATGAAGAATACATTTCAGGAACTTCTGAAGGAAGACTAAAAAGTCCATCCAGAATGCCATCAATTTCTGCCTGCAGATTCGGCTCCACATTAGGGCGAAGTTTGGATAAGAATTCGACCGCACCAAGATCAACCAAATGCTGCACTGCTGGGGGATACTGGAACCAGAAAAGAAGAGTCTTCAGAAAAACTATGAACATCAAAATCTCTAGGCTTTATGTTACAGCAATTAAAACATGAAACTATTTTTGGTATATCAGATGTTCCTTTTTTAAAACATAAAACTTGCAATGATGTACATGAGACATGGATTTATACAGACATATATCAAGTATTTGGTAACACTGACGACAGAAAAGCCCAGACAATGAACACTAGAAATGCATATTACCAATTCCTACTTTTATTTATTTATTATACTGATCAATTCTCTCCACTGACACTGGCCCTATCCTTTCCTACCTCCAACCACTCACAGGATGCCAAAGTAATCAGTACCCCCTACAACTGCATGTGATTTAAAGTTTAGAATCCCTAAACTAGCACTCAGCTATTTGACCCTGACAATGAACTACTCTCAAGACAGAAAAATAACCTGAAAACCAGGTATGGGGAGAAAAAAAAAAACAAAAAACACAACACTTGTGCTGTCCATCATCGTGATCTGTAACATCATCTTTCATGTGTTCTCTTTTATACAAAAGTACCTCTAATTTTTAACATGCAATAAACAAGAGACCATAAGGGGAAACAGCATGACAAATATTAACCTTCCAAGATGATGTCCAAAAAAGGGGGGACATCCCTGAACTCAGAAACCGTGTTAACTCAGGGCACATCAGAGACACACAGTAGACAAACGGAGGAACATCATATATCCTGATGAATTAAAATTCAACATCTCCAATTGTGATTTTTTTTTTAATTAATAATTTTCAACAGAAGCTCCAACGAAGCGACTACGGAACACTTGCTTATTTCGAAGGGATGCTAACCTTAACCAGTCTGCTCAGCAGACCCAGGACCTCGTCCTTCATTGGGACGGACGGGAAATTGAACCATTCCAGCAAGTGGAGAAACAGCAGCCTGTGCGGAGCCAGGTCCGCGCCGCAGACCAAGCTGTGCTCGAGCTTGCAGAGAATACTCCTGAGCGCGCGCTCCCGGATCTCGGCCAGCGGGTGACCTGTCAAAGCAAGCAGCACACGTCTGTTTCCCGACCCCGAGAGCCGCCCGCCGAGGACGCACCCCAACGCTTTCCCGATCCTCGCCGGGGGCGGGAGCGGGCTGAAGAGGCAAAGGAACAAGCCGGTTCCGTCTACACGCGCAGGCCGCGGGAGCACCCGCGACGCGAACGCCGGGGCTCCGACGTGGGTCCCCAGGGGGCTGCCCGGCAGCCAGGGGAAGCCGTCGCCGGGATGGCCAGGCCTCCGCGAACGTGGCCAGGCCATCCTCGGCAGGCGGCCGCCGCAGCTGGGCGGTCCGGGCGCGGGGGGACGCGGACAGTTACCGAGCTTCCGGATAAGCCCGGTCACGACCATCTCGTCTCTTCTCCACTCGCTCGGCCGCCGCCGGAGAATTAAACCGCCGCGCCACTGCGTCCGGCCACAATTTCCGTCCCCCCGAGAAACCCGGCCGCTCCGAAGGCGCGTTCCGCACCGTGTGCGCGAAGGACCCAGCGAGTGAGAGGCATACTCCGTGAACTGTCCCCGGCCTCCGCGCTGCCAGGAGAGCGTATACGGTCTCCACGGTTATCAGTATGCGGTTCTTAGACGGCGGTCTCCATCATAAGCACTGGACAGAAAGAGGGGGCAAGCGGAGAGAGAACGGGCTGTGCCGCCGTGCATCTCGGGAATTGTAGTCTTCGCGCTGCAGTGCGCCCGTCCCGGAATTCCCGGCCCGCCCCCGCGCCCGCCTGCCCGGGGTTCCAGCCTGCCCGCGGTTCCGGCCTGCCCGCGCGGGCTGCGGCGCCGCGGGTTCTGCAGAAACTCAATCCCGCCCAGCGTCCTGCCTCCGTGAGGCGCTGGCTCAGCACCCAACCAGTCTGAATTCTCACCTCCCAGAGAAGTCCATCTCCTTTACCATTTAGAATGCAGGCTCGTTTTAGGATTACCCACCCCGCCCCTCCCCTACCTGCCTTCCTCTTGTGACTAAACGACCCAACGTCTTTAACTGTGGGATGTAACACATCCAGGTTGATGTAACCCATGAAGTCACGGTTCGGAGTAAACAAGTGGAAAAAAGACGTGAGTGCGGCGGAGGGGGAGTGCGCAGGAGAGAAGGGGGCTGTACAAAGAAAAGGGATGAGGAGGGGTTTGGATTCTTTTTTGAATGCCACTGAAGTTGACTGCTGCACTTCGATCTCACTAGGAAAAAAAAATTTAAGCAGTGGCAAAAGCGATGACATCAAAAGGAAATCTGTAAAGTGATTTGCATTTTAGAGAACAGTTCACCTCGCGGACCTGTTCCTCCTGGGAAAAGGGATGTCGAGGCACCAATTCCCATTCTTATTTTGAAGGGAAAACAAAAGAGGGGAGAGGCACTTAAAATCTGAGAAGTTCCTGGAGCGCAGTCACACCGACTAGTAAGTGGCTGACTGAGGACTCTTAACGTTTCTTCGTCCCGCTTTTCGGAGTCGGCTGCTTCTACAAGTGTATAGGCAAAACACACGCTTTAGGTGTGCCGACATTTGAGCTGGATCTTGAGGGGTCAGTAGGAGTTTGGGCTTTGTTTGTTTTCCATGCAGTGAAAAGGGGTGAGGGAGTTTCTGCCAGAGAAAACAGTGTATCAGTTCAGTTCAGTCTAGTCCAGTGGCTCAGTCATGTCTGACTCTGCGACCCCATGAACTGCAGCACGCCAGGCCTCCCCGTCCATCACCAGCTCCTGGAGCTTACACAAACTCACGTCCATCCAGTCGGTGATGCCATCCAACCATCTTATCCTCTGTTGTCCCCTTCTCCCCCTGCCCTCAATCTTTCCCAGCATCGGGGTCTTTTGAAATGAGTCAGTTCTTCGCATCAGGTGGCCAAAGTATTGGAGTTTCAGCTTCAGCATCAGTCCTTCCAATGAATATTCAGGACTGATTTCCTTCAGG